CAATTAATGTATAAAGCACATCACAATCTCCTTTGCCAAAATATCCAGAAGCAGTTTGAAATTAGAGATAGTTGTTATAATCTAAGAGGTATCAATCAAAATAAAAAAATCCAGAACAAGAACAAACATCAAGCAAAGGTGTGTATCAGTAATAGGAGTCAATCTGTGGAATAAGCTTGAAACTGATCTGAAAATGAGTAAATCGCTGGACGAGTTCAAAAACAAATTTAAAAGATTAGTACAAACAAACTACAAAAATCAAAGTTAAGAAGATAAATTCGATATACTTATAAAATATAGTAATATAACGGTCTGTTCTTGTTTTGGATTTTGATCAACTCATTAAATGTATTCAAGAAATGCAGTATTTATAATGAATATGAGACAATTGATATAAAAAGAAGAATGAATAATTATATACATGTATATATGTAGGTGTGTGTATATGTATATGTGTGTGTATATATATATATATTATATATGTATGTGTGTGTGTGTATGTGTATGTATGCACGTGTACGTGTATGTATGTGTATGTATGTATGTATGTATATATTTATATGTATGTATATACAAACAGAAGGGTGTATAATAGATAAGTACAGTACACATAAGGGTAAAAGTACTTGATGAGAGGTAGATCTCTTCCTTTTCTTTTGCATTGAAAAATGATCTATTTATATTATTACACAACAAGGGGTAGGACTAGATAAGTTGTATACTTCTTCCTACTCCTTTGAGCATATAACGATGCTGATGTTTGTTTTATTTACTTTTTATTTTTATTTCTCCTTTTGTAATTTTGTTTGCCTTTTGTCAATTGTTGTTGTATTGTATGTTCAATAAATTAAAAAAAAAATTAAAATGGCCACGTGATTCAGACGTCATTTTAGTGCGACGGAGTCGTCTTGTTTTGTTTACATGCTATAGCTACAGCGTGGTCTGTGTTTTTTGTAAGAATGGCAACCCCCAAACCCGTCAACGTCAGTTCCGTGCCCATCGACGCCTTTAGCAATTTAAGAATTACATCCATTTGGACGTTTCTCATGTCTGTAGGTTCAACTTTCTTCCCAACGTAGCGATGCTAGCGCCGTCGTTGGAGTACCGCTACAAAACGTTGTGCATTAGTTTTAGTATTCTCAGAATCTGCCTTCTTTTTTTTTTAGGTGAAGTGGTCGGAACCTTGGCTTATCGGCGGTGTTGTGTTTCACATAGTGTGTCTTTGCCTGACTATAGTGACGTGCAAATATTACAGAGCGCAGATCTGCCACTTCCTGCTCATAAGTAAGTGGACATAAGTATTGGGCCACTCACGATATTGGTTTAACTTAAACTGGCGTTCTTATTTATTCCTTGTAAGTAAGACTTGTGTTTGTAACAATTTTTATTAAGTTGTTGTATTTTTTTGGGATCATTAAGAATTTTGATACACAACTGTATAAGTGTAGCGCGTCTTTTATGTTCCTTCATTTTTCCCACAGTCGTCTTGGTGTACAGTGCTGAATATTTAAACGAGCTGGCAGCAATGAACTGGAGGTACTTGTAATATTTAAAATATTATGGAATGCCAATATCCACTTGAATGAGTGAAACCTCTTGCAGGTCGTTTTCCGAGTTCCAGTACTTTGACTCCACGGGCATGTTTATATCGTTGGTCTTCTCCATCCCGTTGCTTTTGAACGCTGTCATCATTGTGGTGAGTGCTGATATGTTGCCATATAAAATTTAAGTCTCTTTTAATAGAACAGAAAGGTTTAACTGCAAATGACAAATGAACAGCCTGAAGCAAGCACGCTTTGCAAATTACGACCACAATATCGATACTCGTTTTGTTAGCCGGTGTATGGCATTTCCCATTGTGTTAGTATCAAGCTAGAGGACTATCAACTTTTGTCTTTCTGCGCAGATTGTGTGGTTGTACAGGACCTTCTCCACCATGGCCGAGCTGAAGACGCTGCAGCTGAAGCAGAAGGCGCGCCTAGCCAAGAAGCGTGATTAATCCTTTTCTCTGGAATATCAAAAAGGACTGGATTTTTTTTTTTCAGTGGTGGACAACCCGCGGCCCCCGAACGCACAAACCCAAAAACAAATACAACCCCAGAAGAACCGTTCTGACCCTGTTTCCTAATAAGTGTGTAGAAAGATTTTACAAGATGAATGCTCTGTATTTAAACGTGTTATTAAATGTGTTTTATTGCTATGATAAAGCGTTCTAAGTGTTCATTGGTGTCCTTGACACGTGTGGCTAAGCTAGAAGTGTTCCTGACGGTTTAAAAGTCTTAAACTCTCTCTCTTTCATTTCATTAAGCTAATACTTGCCATTGCGGCATCATGTTAGTTTGGAAAATTCAATTAAACAGTTTCGTCCTTTTCCCTATGTTCAAAAGGAAAACCCTTTCACCTCTCCTTGACCCCACGAAGTAGCCCAACAAAAGTTAAGGAAAGGTGGCCTAAAGGTTCAGAGATTTGATTTTGCAAAGAGGGCCTCTGAGTTGACGTCCCAGGGTCTTGAACAGTTCCCCCTTGGTAGAATTCAGTCTTATTCACAAGCTTGTCACTAGAGGACGACAGGGAATAAATTAAGGACGCTTGAATGGTGACAGTAGAACTAATAGCTCAACGTGACAACGCGATATTTGGAGGAAGTGGAATCAAATTGCAGCTGCGAATGAAATTAGGAGCGTGCGTGATTTGAGACTTGGCCATGGCCAACGTCAATAAACAAGTTAGAAGGAGCTGACACACTTCAATAGGCGGACCTGCACAATTCATTGATGTGTGAAAAAAACAATTGTTTTCAATTTAAGGGTCATGGCCTAGAATGATGGGTTATTACCGGTTGTCAGGGAAAACAGCTGTAAGCTATTTTATTTATTTTAAAGAAGCTGAAAATTTCTTGGCAATGGACTTTTGCCATTCATTTTTGCCGAAATCCATTTTCATCTTAAAAGCATTTCTGGGGGATTTTGTTTTGTAAGACTATCAGCATTTGATTGTTGTAAAATTTAGTTTTTGGAATCATTCACAGATGTTTTTTTTAAACCATTTATTTCTTCATTTTTTTCCCAGTAATTTCTGTTGTGCATGCATGTTTTTTATGGAATATTCTCCCACCCTCACTTTGGTTTGTTTTCCGGCCATTGGGTTCTTCACAGCTGTGTCTCTCTGTTTAACTCATGGGTTTCATAAATTCAGTGTTACTTTTGGTCGGGGTGCTCGCTTTTTTAGTTTTATGACTTGGCCTCCCCCCAAAACAAATTGGAGACAAGAAAAGAGGATTACGTGGATATTTAATCATGCTGCACAAGAGAAACTGGAGTTGCTACGGAGCCAAGATTGAGACCCAGAACCTCTCAGCTCATCAACACAGCACTAATATTAGTCATTCTACGCAGAGGATAAAGAATATGACTGTGATTACTGTTACATTGTCACCCTCAAGGCACCACATTTTGTGACATTTTTGTTTTTGTGGTGAGGCTGCTCTAACATAGAATTTTGTACGGTATGTATCTTGGCTCAATTGAGGTTCAAACACTTATTTAGATTGTTGACTTCTCCTGTCTGTCAAACGTTGCCATCTTGACTTACTTGATGAAGGAAGAGCGAGTCGGAGGATAAACACAAAAACACAAACATGTCGAGCTAATTAATTACTTTTCCCCTGAGCTCCGGCTCCTGCGCCGAATTCTGAGCCCGTTGACGAACTTATCCCTCCATTTGACGTCGTCTAAACGATTTTCTTTTCACCAAGTCATTCGCCGCAATTAAGGCCCATCCTCCAGGCGTGAATGGAAGCGGCCGGCTCAATTAAAGAAGAGGCCTCGCAAATGAAAACATCTAATTTCCGCCGGCATCTTTTGCATGCTGTAGTTTAATGAGTGCTCATTATGCATGCGGGCGCTAACTGCCATCAATAAGGTCTCATCGCACTCAATTAGTTGCCTGCTATTTGTTTTACAGTATCATGGAAAACAACTTTGTTTGCGTGATGACTACCGCTGTGTTTTGTCACGTTGGTCCTACATGTAAGAATGAAAAGTTTTTAATGTTGTGTTTGGTAGATTCTTTACTGAAAGGCAGATGGGTAATATTGCAATTTGGAATGACAAACAGTTTTAATGAAGTTGAAAAAAATATATATGTTTATTTATTTATTTATTTATGTATGTTTTTTTTTTTGTTTGTTTTTTTATGGGAATAAATATTTGTCCACAGTTTCATGATCCTAAATTGAAGTAATTTATCCATTGCAGTGATCCAAACGATTTGCCAACTCACTGAGATGCAATACTTGAATATGTAATTCTCTCAGATAGAGTCCACGGAACGTAGCCCCGCATTCCATAACATCGTCCATCTGTCTTAACAAATAGTTACATCAGCCCAAGACTAAACTTTGGATCCTTGAAAGCTGCTTCTAAAAATAATAATAGTAATAATAATAAAATAAACCAAAATTTCCCACACCTTTTACAACACAAAATCACCCCCTAAGCACCTCTCAATTACAGTTGCTATAAAAGGTCTACACACCCCTGTTCAAATCTATTTCAAAACTATTTCCACCATTAATGCAACCTCGAAGATATACAAATCAACTGGGGGAGGAATATTTTCAAGAAGGTGATGAGGTTGTGTTTACATTCAACATTCATATGCTTGTTAAATGGAAGTCAGCACACACGCGTCACCATTTAAAGCACCTCTGATAAACCCCAAATCAAGTTCAACTGTTCGAGTTAGCTAACCTGAATCCATTTGAAAGATGCGAGAGGAAGTAGGACCCATTTTTGCTGCTCATCGAACTTGTATGTATTTGATTGACGGTAGACATCTGAGCCGGGCACAGTTTGAGCCATTCAGAATACACAGACACAGCCTTTGGGAGCAGAAAAAAAAAACAAAAAAAAACCCTGGACGCAATAAAAAAATAAATTAAAAAAAACAAAACAAAAGAAACACTGTACATGGTCAAAAACGGCAAGCTTAAAATAAGCTAATTCAATGAAGGCTTTAAGGTTTTAAGGAAAAGTGTTTTGTTTGTTTATTTTTACTCCAGTTAAATGGGGAGTTGGCCATTTTCAAACCGCTAGCTCGATATGAATCTAGCTTCACATGTCCATTCATAATGACAAGCGATTAATTATGGAAAATAGCTACAGAAAACGCTGTCCAGCTTCAACAAAATGACATCTATTATCCATCCATCCATTCATTTTCCAATCCGCTTATGCTCACGAGGGTCGCGGGTGTGCTGGAGCCTATCCCAGCTGTCTTCTGGAAGTCGGTGGGGGAAACCCCGAACTGGTTGCCAGCCAATCACAGGGCACACATAGATGAACAACCATTGGCGTTCACAATCACAATCAATCCTTGGGACAATTTAGAGTGTTCCATTTACCTGCTATGCATGTTTTTGGAATGTGGGAGGAAACCAGAATACCCAGAGAAAACCCACACAGGCACGGGGATAACATGCAAACTCCACACAGTGAGGCCGGATCTGGAATCGAACCTTGCACCTCTGCACTGTGAGGTAGGTGTGCTAACCCGTCGACCACCATGCTACCTAACATCTGTCATTAGCGCTGTAAACAAGCCAACGTTAGTCAGCCACCGCAGCTGCATGACTTATTTGTAACAGAGGCAAATAATGGACACCTCATGCTAGTTTAAAAAAAAAAAAAAACACTTTACGCTTTTTACAATGGAAGATCAAAAGTTCCAAACAATTTTTTAACAATGACTGCACTGTTTCTAAACACATTTCCATGATTTAAACATTTTGGAATTTACAAGAAAAAATTTCTTTACCACTATACAGCATATTTCAAAATGCTCTTAATAAATCATTCATGTTCAACAAGTAGATGACTCATCTGACTACATGAATTAAAAATAAAAAGAAATCATCTTCTGACGCATGGCCTTCCAGTCGTGTCAAGACCATTCGTCATATTTTCCTAATTGATCCTGCTAGCGAATAGTCTACGACACTTATGTGGATGAATAAAGAGGCCGAAAATACACAAGGGAAAGTTCCTAGCAAAAAGCAAATATACATAACAACTGTTGGTTCACGCACCACTAACGTTGGTTTAACAATGTGTAGTTCTTCCAAATGGATGTTCTTTCCTTTGTTCCTCTGACATTACGAATGAAAGTTTCCTTTGTTTGTGCCCATTTCATCTGGTGGGCAAAATGGCAGAACTTTTAAACCACAGTCGTTGCCGTAGTTGACCTTGACCATTCATGTTTTCAAAACAGCATCCAATTTGATGGTATCGTTCGGCCCTTGAGACTTCTTCTGTCGCTGCTTTTTTCAGCACCAGATGTGCATTCGATCCCACTGAAGGCTCCACGGCCGCCGGCCAAATAACAGACCGATTGAAAATGGAGATTTTAGCCACTGGAAATGACAGGCTTGCTTTGTTCGAAGATGGCACTGTCAGCACAATTGTAAGATAACATTACTGCAACACAGTTGTCACAGTACATTTCAGGGTTTGGAATTGACATAGTAAAAAGACACAATTATCGGTCGTTCTATTGTTGTGCACAGCTGCTGGTGGGGTATTCCCCGGGCTAGTCACCAGTTCAAATATATAGATAAATCAATACCCATTCACACTATGGACAATTTAGAACAGGATTGTCCAAAGTATGGCCCACTCAACATGTTTTAGCGGTCTGCGGCAAATACATTGGTACCGACTGTGTACTGTATATATATTTTTTTGTTCCGAAACCACCACTACCCAGGAAGAACAACCTATGAAGAAAGGAAGGCGTGACTGAATTGGTGTCAGTCATTTGTCATGTGCACATGGGTACATTCATAGCAGGTCACTGCGTACCCCCGGAGCCTTGCCTGAACTGTTAGTTTGGGCTTCACGAGCTTTGGTGAAATTCTTTTGGGATATCCACGTGTAGAATTTAATTATTAATAATGGGGGAATGGGGGGAATACTCTTTGCATAATCATCTTTCACTGATGTAGCAGGTTTTTGGGGGGTTGTTTGTTTTAACACATTTATTAATTTACCGGTGAATAAGGTCAAAGTGGCCCTTGCATCCTTTATTTCTTTCTGAATTCATACCTCAGATGAAAGGTTTGTACATTCCTGATTGGTTTTATAATAATAATAATAATTATTATTATTATTATTATTATTATTAGTTGTAGTAGTAGTAGAAATATTAATTTTCGTTTTTTTTACGGACTTGTTTTATTCAGGCACAGGGTTGTCCATGTCCACACCGATGGCGACACAGGACCCCTACGTCATTGGCAAAATGGCGGCTTCAAGCAGCAAATCTGTTCTGTTTGTCTGTCTGGGTAAGATACGCACTTTTCATTGATACAACCACAAAAGGTCGAAAGTACAGACCTTTATCAGTATTTAATTTACTCATTTAGACGCTTCGTGCTTCCGAGTGTTCGTGACATTCACGCCAATGTTGTAAATGGAATGAACCACGACTGACTAGTAAACTTTAATGATGAGTCTGAACTAGTGTTTCATTGTCCACTAAGCGACACTGAAGGTGAAAATTCATTGAGCATTTGTTTTTTCTTTCTTGTTCAAACGCCGAGTCAACCCTCATTTTACAAGACCAATCAGGAGCCGAAGGGAGCGTAGAAACACCGTCGTAACCGCTTTGAAAGTCCAATGTCCCTGGCGCTGTCTGCCGCAGGTGTTCACCTCTCAGGCCTAGCCCGTAAACCAGAGGTGCCCATTACGTCGATCCTGATCGACCGGTAGATCGAGGGCTGGTCCCAAGTAGGTCCGAAAGGTGTAAAGGAGAAAAAAACAAACAAAAACATTTATGTGTCTTTGTACATGTTAGTAATGTATTTTTTTGTGTTAATGTACGCTGCACCCAATTCAATTGATGGCATCACGCAGAAGGTGGTTAGACTGTTTTGTTACACTAGTCTGCGCGCTTGTTTCTACAAACTAGTTTGTATGTGGAGACTAAATCATTATTTCGCTGTATGTATATTAGTGACATTTTTTTCTTTGGTAACGTGCCGTGAGATTTTGGGAATGTCAAATGTGTGCCTTGTCTTCGTGTTACAGATTGTAGGTTTTAGTCGTCAGATGGTGTTCAAGAATGTATTGTGAGGATTATAACTATCCAACAATTACTTTTACAGGGAACATCTGCAGGTCCCCCATTGCGGAGGCCGTCTTCAGGAAGATGGCAACTGAAGCAGGTGTTGCTGACAAGGTATCACTGTAGAGATACAAGGGTGCTGATTTACGGCATGGCATATACTATTTACTATACTGTACCGAGCGATATATTGAATTGAGCTCAATTACATACCCCCTTTCATATGTCCTGTGTCAACTCTTACCAAGACAAAATGAAGTTGTAGGTCGCTTGAACTGGATTTGTGAGTCATCAGAATTAAATTGTAGATACCTTAAACTTGAGTTACAAATATATACAATTGTGTCGCAGATTTCTGAGCGGAAATTGGCGACTGAATAGTAGATATCTATCATTGTTAACCCCATACAGAAAAGTGACAGAATTTGACCCATTAGATAAGATAATAAAACCTTTATTGGTCTCACAATGGAGAAATTCCCAATTTACAGCAGAAGAAGAAGTAGAAGAACATATCTGTAATTTAGTTTTGACCAAGGCAAAACTGTAGTTGTTGACTAGTCCCAAATATGTTACAGAGATCTTTGAAGATTTTTATTCTTCAAAATGTGATTAAAATTAGTTTCAAAGACATTGTTTGTGTCTACAAGGTAACTTGCAGATTGTTAGATTTAACTTTTAAATGATAAGAAGGCTTGCAGAGTAAGCATGTCCATTTTGATAAAATACTAGCAAGGGGGAAGAGGGCACTTAATATGGCCAGCCACACCGTGCTAAAAAAAAAGTGATAAAACCTCAGGACAACTGTCAAAAAGCTCCAAAACATTTACCCACATCAATATTCATTGTAAAGTGAGTCATCAATTTACCTCAGTTTCGAAAAAAAAAACTCACCGTGACGTCTTGTTTTGCGTGCTCTCTCCCCCGCCCAGTGGAGGATAGACAGTGCCGCCACGTAAAGTGATAAAACCTCAGGACAACTGTCAAAAAGCTCCAAAACATTTACCCACATCAATATTCATTGTAAAGTGAGTCATCAATTTACCTCAGTTTCGAAAAAAAAACTCACCGTGACGTCTTGTTTTGCGTGCTCTCTCCCCCGCCCAGTGGAGGATAGACAGTGCCGCCACGTTCGGCTATGAGATAGGAAACCCGCCCGACCATCGCGGCCTAGCCTGCATGAAGAGGCACGACGTGCCCGTGAGACACGTGGCTCGACAGGTACGACCATCACCCGCCTTTGCTCTGTGTCGTTGCAGTGGCTCATAGACAGCGGCGCCACGTCCGACTGGAATGTCGGCTGCCTTCCGGACGCCCGCGGGCTGGCCTGCCTAAAGGGCCGTGGCATTGAGACCGCTCATAGGGCCCGACAGGTGCCGAGCATGTTACAAGACTTCCACACACTACATTACAATACTTGTTCATGTGTGACATTGGCGATATGTGCTTTCAATGTGGTTAGCTGCATTACGTATTTCCTCAAATAGAAGCCGGACTTTTTATTTTTAATTGCGCTTTCGATGCATTTCTCCCAAAGGGTTATTTTTGTTTTCACCTCCATTTGCACTTCACATGAATTGGTTAAATTATTTAACATGCTGCAGTTTATCAAACCAAATTGTAAGAACTCGGCAAGTGGGACTGGATAATTGTTGCATTTGGTGCTGGCAGGCAGGTCAATGAATAGTTTGTCCACTAGATGGCAGAAGCTCCAATTAATCTGCGTCTTATACCTGTTGCCATTGATGGACAGTAACAGAATAATAATTGAATCTCTTCCTAAACAGGCCCAGATTTCACCTGTAATTAAATTCAGGAGTACAGTGAGACGAGCGCATCATTATTTCACTGTCACGTTTTATGTTTGGTTGTGTGCAGTGAGATTTTTCTAATGTAGAATGTTTGCCTTGACTCAGTAAAGGCGTGGGAACGACTGATGGACATTAATCGCAGTGCTAAAATCGGATGTAGGGCTGACACTGTTGAATATTTTTATTATTGATTATTTCATTGATTAATCAAGTAATCGGATGAACATTTATTTTGCATTAAACTGAGAGCTGTGGTACTTCTTGGGTGTTGATTGACGTGAAGAACCACTCGTTTCATATCGTACTGTCAAAATGCCCCCCAAAAAAAGACATTGTTCCGTTCAAGTTGTATATTGCTATCAAATAGCATTGTGCACTCACATCAATACAATGTCGCACCAAAAAATACATTCAGTCGCTAATTCAATCTGCTAAAAAATAATTGTGGTATTCATTAAAGTAGTGCCACCACTTTGAAGTCTGCGGTCGTATCCACTTATAAGGCTGCTTCAGCTTCAACTACATGCCACTTGAAGATTATTCAGACTATTTTTTTGTAATCGATCTAACGGGCTATTATATTTGCCATTCTGATTATGATTTAGTTTCTGGTTTGCTCTTGAAAATGTCAGAAAATAGGGAAAAAAACGTTGATCGTTGTTTCCCAAAGTACAAGCGGATGTGTGCAAATGGCGTGTTTTGGCTAAACACAAAAGATAGGAAGTTCGCTTTCATGAAGGACTCCAAAAATCTGAGAATAATTATTGTTGAGAAACAGAAATCAAAGGATTTGCACAATTTGAAATTAAAATAATGGCTCGAAATGATGAATGGGTTTCTGAACATAATTACTAATATGTCGATGGATGAGTTGTGGATTCACCGATTAACTGTGACACCTAGCGCGGACGCTGCATTCGCATTGACCGATGCATGTCACATTTCTCGCCTTATTCCAATCTGAACATCGCGGATTTTCATTCGTTTTTGTATTTCTGCATCCATGATGCATCTCCCAGTTGTCACTTCAGAGCAAAACAACGAAATGATCATTTCGGTGTCAATCCACCCGAATCAGTATTTAGCTTCTGAGCGCAAACCACTTCTCCCACGGAGTACAAACTTTGCCCGAGGAGCAAGGCAATTTCCACGGGACTCGCATGGCCTTGACAGTTTTCCCGTAGCCGCAAAATCCCGATTGTCGCCCGTGATCGTTTGATTAGACTCTGAAATTGGTCACAGCAAAAGCGGGGTCAATACAGTGAATCCGAGACATGAGACATCAACGTCTCGTCGTGGGAACAGTTGAGTGACTCGGGCGTCAGCACTGCCACGCTGTGCAAGTTGGCTGCAGGCGATGAATCACATGGCAGAGAGAGGATGTGTTCATAAATTTAGCATCCCCATCACTCCTCAGTGTGTTTCCGATCCTCGGAGAAGTTTCAAAATGTTTCTCCATTTAGGGCATTTTCCTGCTCCCTCGTGTCCTCAATCCCCCCCCTAAAAACCCCCTTCTTCTTCTCAGAGGCTCGTTGCTTTTGCCTGGTTTCTCCTTCTCACCCCGTTTGTCCCTGCAAAGCTGACCCGCTCTAATCTCCTCAAAGCAGGACCGGTGAGCCCTGTGTCCCCATCCGAACAATGAGTTTTGACACTCGCATTTTCCCCTGCCCCTCGCTCTCCCTTCATTAGCCCCGCCATCGCCTTTCTGCTTCCACCCGCTTCTTCTCCCACAAACGCGGTCAAAGGGAGACCACATCAGACGCACGTTTTATTCATATTTGCGGAGCGTTTTGCACGTATGGTAAGAAAACAAGCCCCAAGTCGACCGCGCTTTTCGGAAATGGGCGTTTAAAAGGCTGTACTCATCAATTTGTTATCATTGAGTCAATGTTTGAGGAATGAGCACAACTTTGACGCCAAAACAATCTTCGTCCCATGAACTTAAACTGCCTGGATTTGGGTTTTTTTGATGGATAACAGACACACCATTCCAACCAGCCCGCCCCCCCTTTTTTTTTAATTTATTTTTTTCTAAACATGAATAGGTGCAATTGGATATTTGTTATTTTTAAGCCATGCCTGATACACAGATATCCACCCTGCTCACAAACGTTTTGTTTTCAGCCAGAACAATGACAAACTCGGCACTGACGAATGATTGGATTATTTGTTCTCTCTGTGTAAATATGAGTGTGTTTTTTTTTTTTTTTTTTTTTTTTTTTTTTAGTTAAATAAAAGTGCTTCGGATTTTATTACCAGTCTAAAATGGTATAACGGCAATCTCATCCGTGTCTGCCGCTCCCATAAAATCCAACAAAAACTGTGAAGCAGATGCCCCGTCGCTCATTTCACGACCCATTTCCAGACTCGCGTGCCCCTTCGGATTCTCAGCGTCCTCCTCTAAGAGGGGAATCCTGCGGTTTTTTTTTTTTTTTTGCTTTCTTTGACAAGCAACCAGGCATCTGCCATGAATCAACCAGTGAAAGCCACATTCGTAGTCATAGTAAAACGATACAAGTTGTAATGCTACATGCACTCTGGCTTCCTCCCACCCAAAAAAAAAAAAAACTAACTAAAAAAAGAACCTGAAGCCTTTTTTCGGCTTAACAGGTGACCAGTACAAAGTGGCCTGTAACGAAATACAGTTTACACCCCTGATGTATTTCACTGCTTGTGTCATGTCTACCTTATCAGTCGGCAGATATCTCTGCAGACAACCCCAAGCCCCGCAATAAGTCATAGCTGAAAATCTCTATAAAGATCTGCATCACACGATAGGTCAGCCTAGCGGTCAAGTAAGCGAGCAACTTTGAACACGAGTCGATGAGTAAAGATTTTTGTGCCTCCAACTGGAAATGTTTCACTTGATTGGATCAACAGAGATGAACGAAGCAACTTTTCTCCTCATTGATGATGTAATGTTTATCGCGGTGAAGCAAAAAAAAATGTAATGCCTTTTTGGCGGTTTTTATTTGGTTGCATTTTTTTTTTTCTGCGACCTCAATGGCGGTTCGCCACTCAAGCACCCCCTTATTGCCCAACCGCCGCTGGGTGAATAGAGAAAGATGTTATCGTGTCAAATAAATCTTTTTTTTTCCCTCCATGTAATGATGCCAGTCATTGAGTGGAATCGCTTGGAGTGGTCCTATGTTCAGTTGGGAATTGTGGTTTTGGTTTTTTTTTTTTTTTGTTTTTTTTTTTTTTTATTTTTATTGCATATGGTGTCAACATTTCCACATCAACCCGCTTTCTTCTGCATTTGTCTCCCAATTCCAGGTGACCGAGGATGACTTTATGAGCTTTGAATTTATTCTCTGCATGGACGAGAGAAACTTGAGGTATGAAAACATGTCGTCAGTTTTTTTTTCCCCCCGCTCTTTGATTTTGGATCACAGTATTATGCCTTCTTCAAAAATGCTGGTAGCATGTGTTTAGTGTTATTGATGGCCAGCGTAGACGAACAAAAGAAGAGAATGAAAAAAAAAACGACAATAATAATAATAGGGGATTGAACTATGCCGTCCCCAAAGCTGAATCCAAACTTATGTGCTACTTCGCTACATATTCCCAGCAACAGTGAGCTAAAACTAACGTGTAGGTGAATGCCTCCTTTTAATGAGCAATAGCCTTCCTTAATCTCTTTCAAAAGGTCAGGGTGAAGGGTAATTTTTGTTTTCCACTTTGAACGTTTCGGGATGGTTTTTGAGATCACATGCCCAAGGTAGATCTGATCTGTAAGGAGCTTAGTGAGTTCTTTGGATGCCATGTCTATGCTCCTTTGGGCAGGTTTTTTTTTTCCACCCTCCCCCTTTTTCTTTCCCACATATTTTTCTCAGCAAATGTTAATCTGACCAGAATGAGAAGTGTACAACTTCTTGAAAAGGCCGATGAGGACAGGTTTTCTTCCATATGGTGTTGTCCTTGTCCCGAAAAGTACAAACACGCTGGAATCTGATTAGTTCCCGGTAGCGCATGCCAAACATATTTTACATCCTGGTGTGTCAGTGGTGTGCCTTCTCCTTCCTGCTGGTTAAAGAAAAAGAAAAGTTTTTTCCTCTTGTCCTTTCAGGGACTTGAAACAGAAAGCCAACGCTGTGGAGGATCACCGGGCAAAAATCGAACTTCTCGGTACATATGACCCGCAGAAGCAGCTGATCATCAAAGATCCCTATTATGTAAGTAATCCAGTCAGTGATTTGTCCTTTTCGAAACATGGCGGGGAATGCGGAAGGGTTTATTTAGAGTTATTGCACAAGATCCCATGCTTGGATGGCATAGAAATTTGGAGTGAGCATAAAACCGGTGTCGCAAAAACTCTCCCAAGGGTTGGGCCTTTCCAAAACCAGCTTATTGGGTTTGGCTTCGCACTTTGAAGGCCTTCCATCAAGCAGTTATGACATCATTTAGGAAGGCGGCACGGTGCGTTAGTGGTGAGCACATCCGTTCAGAGGTCGGGGGTTTGACGACTCAAAATCATCCGGAGGTGTGAATGTGAGTGTGGATATGTGGCCCGTGATTGGCTGGTGACCAGTTCGGGAATGTACCCCGCCTTTCGCCCCAATTGGGTGGGACTTGCGTTTATCGCTCTGCTAAATAACTGTGAGCCACGCAAGTGAAGAGAAACAGATTCTCTGTTAATTAGGCAACCCTGTGCAGTGTGTCTCACTCCAAACTGGCCAAAAAGTCATCCAGTACATCCATTTGGCTGTCCATTTAGATGCCTGCCCCGTCGAAAGTGTTCCTGCTGCAACCACAACACAGTCACGCCCGCTGTTAATAAAATAGTTGGCAGACGGCTTACACGCGCAGGTGTTATCTCGCCCCCATTACGGCTTCTGAGACCACAGCTGAACACGGTAAAGTGGCCGCAGGGTGTTTGTCTCCCACTCTGAACTGCAACATTGGGGGGAAAAAAAAGGGAGAAAATTCCCGGCTTTAACAGGCGGTATATTCCCGAAGGATATTTTGGCTTGTTTTCCATACAAAATAAGAACAAACAAACAACAACAACAACCAAAAAAAAACCCCTCTCCACAACCAAACACTTTGATTGGATCATCAATCAAATGTCTGAAAAATATTGTGGAGTAGACTGTGACTTTGGAAACATTTCGTTTGACTCGCTAAGTTGCCGCTTCTTCAGAACTCGTTCGATCGGCTCGAGCAAAAATTGTTTGATGTGGGGGAAGGAATTTGATTGCTCATTACAGCAATTTAGAACAGCACAGCTGCCGCAACATTCTCAGGCTGAGGGTTTTGAATCTTGGCTCCAGACTTCCAGTTTGATTGTTTCCCCCTTTTTCTTTGTTTTTTTTTTACACCCCCAAAATATGCATGTCAGTCTCATTCACGACTCTGCATTCACTGTGTGAATGGTTGTTTGTCTACATGTGCCCTGCGATGAGCAGGCTGTTTGTTCAGGGTGTACCCCACTTCTCTCACCCCAAAAAAAAGACAACTTTCTGCTCACCCAAGACCTAAAAGGAGAAGTCAACTGCCAAATTTAATTTGTACGAATATGTTCTACGCAACCCCACTAGTATAAACATGGCATTCAGATTGATGCTGTGTGGAATAACAGATGAGCAGTAACATCCATCCGTTTTTTATCCATTTTTTATCCATCTCAGGGGGCGGCCATTTTTCCGCTTGCGGTCAACTGAAAAATGACATCACAGTTGCTTGGGGCTCACGTAACAACCAATCATGGCTCAGCTACAGAAAACAGGTGAATTGCGATTGTGATCTGAGCCCCAAGCAAAGGTGAGTTTTAGTTGACAGGAAGTGGCAAAAATGGCTGTCCCCTGAGATGGACAAAAAAAAAAAAAAAGTGGATTTTGCCGCTTAACTCGTATTCCACAAACGTGGAATAATATGAATGAGAATGTCGTGTTTTGACGAGTGGAGGCGCATAGAAAATTTGGGGCTTGACTTACCGTTGAATGACGACAGGTGCTACAGAAAATGCACATATGGATTACATCAGTGTAGAAGCAATCTCAATTCCAAAGCTGAAGACCGAAGTGGAAAAGTTTGTGAAACAAAATGAATGATTGATTGAGTGAGTCGGCACCACGAGTCCTGGCCCCGAGGTGATCACCAGTCCAAGTGTGACTCACACTCATGATAACGTGACATTTCCCCAAAACGTCAGTCTGTCCAAATGCTGGGTCTTCAACATGAGGACAGCGTGCCAAAAATGGGGACCGTTTTTTTTTTTTTTTTTGTGTGTGTGGTGTCAACTATCGCCTCATTCCGTTCATTTCGTCTGCTGCTCGGAGAAGACCGTCTCTGACTGGCTGGCAACTTTCAGTTCAAAATATCCACAGAGAAGCTTGTCTGGGCCAATTTTGCAAAGGATTCGCCAAGCTGACGCGTTTTCAAACCTGCCCTCAAACTCGACTATACGGTGGTACCTCTACTTACGAATGTCTCTTCATATGAAATTTTCAAGTTACGAAACGTCTCAACAGGAAAACATTGCCTCTTGTTACGAAAGAAATTTCAAGATACGGAAGGTAAAAATACAAGTATGGGCTGCTACTCGCAGTTTCGAGTTTCCTGAACGCAACATACATAGCTGCTCTGCTATTGGCTATTACCGAGCATCATTCTGGCATCCCATTGGCTAAGAGGGACCTCAAAAGTATGTGTGTGTGTGTGTGTGTGTGTGTGTGTGTGTGTGTGTGTGTGTGTGTGTGTGGGGCGACTGATAATTAGGTGTTGATGCAATGTCCTCGTCATTCGCCCAGGAGGTGTTCCGATGGTTTTACGGAAATGTGAATCACCCAGAAAAAGTGTTGACAAGTCGGGCGATCGCTCACTAGGTTGATGTTTGCCTTGGCCATTTTTGAAGGATTGTTAAAAGCCGACAAAAGCAAACGTCCTTGGATCAGTTCTTTACAAAATGCCAAGCAAAAGCCACTTCTGAGAGAGAACATGAACTAAAGAGGGCGAAAAACAATGAGGACGCAATTCAAAGTTAAATGACCATCATTTTTATTCTTTGTTTTTCACATGATGCACAACTCTCACTCTTTGTGCAATAATCTAATTAACATGTATTTGTTATTTTTATGCTTTAGGAAACATTTGTGACTGAATTTTTTTTTGGGGGGGGGGGCTTGTAACGGATTAGGGCATTTACATGGAAAAATGCCCTCAATTTACAACATTTTCTAGTTAAGAACTTTCTTCCAGAACCAATTAATTTCGTAAGTAGAGGTACCACTGTACCGCAACAGGGAAAACTGTTTTGATACAAGAGCAATGTGTATCCTTTTGTAATCAGTTGTTTCTTCCTGACTTTTATTTGTCCGGGAGGATTTCCGAGACGTTTGACATGCTCCATTGCGCTTGCTACGTACCGTACTTGTCATATGTAAAACGGTAAGAATGGTGACTTCCACGTCGCTGTCATTTCGTTCGTCGATTATACCACGAGGTGCCAATCTGACATCACGATTGCCCGGTCACCGGTGGTCTCATAAGATACCCGCTGCCGTCCATTTTCATCGAGAAGACACAAGTGTGTGATTGTAAAAATTATTTATTTATTTTTTCCCCCACGTTGCTGGCAATAACAAATCTATTTATTTGCACATAACCATATTAATTCATCACGGAAGGAGATGGTTGAGTTTCACAGTATTTTTCTGCAACCTTGGGATTTTACTTTGACTCTGAGTCACGATATCTCGGCCTGATTGGGATCTCTCATCACATTAATTACACTGTGAAAGCGCCGCAAAAGGCGAAAAGGAACATTTTCTTCCAGCGCGTTGTGAAGACAAACATTTTGATGCGAAGGGGCCCCTGATGCCAAATTTTCTGTCGGCATCTGGAATCGGTCTCCCTCAGGGCAAAAGCCATTCAACTATACAATCAAACCTCGGTTTTCGTCCATAATCCGTTCCAGAAGGCTGTTCGAAAACTGAAATTGTTTGAAAACCGAAACCACGCTCTTTTTAAAATAAAAATGTTTACTGAACACGTCTGCTCACAATGGAAAGCAACACGAGGAAGCGTCACTTCCTCGTGTCAGGAAGGCGAGAGGAGTCAAATGGTGCATTCAAGTGCGCTCAGTTTGTTCGAGAACCGAAATTTGTTCGTCATCCGAGGCATAAAAAACTCGAAATTTTTGGTCGAAAACCGAATTGGTCGAGAACGAGACGTTCAAAAACCGAGGTTTGACTGTATTTTTAAACTGCATTGGGTTGGCACGTGTAGGCCGCATCATGATAGTCGGGTTTGATATTTTAACAGCCTTATCTCTGCTTATCTTCGCATTCTCCGACATGAACAATGAAAGCAGATATTGCTCCCTTGTCTGCGACCTGACACTCCTCATCCCCCCTTGTATTTTGTTTTTGCTGCAGGGAAGTGATGAAGACTTTGAAAAGGTGTACGAACAGTGTCAACGATGCTGCAGGGCGTTTCTCGAGGCAAACTCATAGCGTTGTTGTCGCTCGCCAATTGGCCACCGGTAAGGCATTCTTTGGCCATGTTGCACAAGAATATCATTGTTGGGGGGGGGGGGAGACAGCCACCGGAACGCCTCCAAGTTTTCTGTATTGTGCTTGCTCTGACCACATTATTGACGTGGAGAACAATTCCTGTGTTGAAATAAAAACCATACAACCCACTCAGATCATCTTGATTATCATTACGGGTGGCGCAAAACACAGCGTTCAGAACTGACATTTACAATGACGCATTTGCGCTAAGAGTTGTTGGTGCGGCAGTTATTTGACGAGCTACGACTTATGTGAACTATATTAGTTGTGTTACAAAGGGGAGCTAAATGAAATAAGAGGGTGGAAGTTGCAAAGCTGGCTGAGACACTCTTACTGGAACGCTCATCGCCCTTCGCGACATTGTTTTAATAACTGGAATTTGTTCACAACAGGCGGTAAGTCCCCACTCTTGGAATAATCTGCTACTATTTTGCTGAACAAAGTTCAAATTTGCGCAACTGTTGACTTTTAATGTCCATGTGCGCCTGTGAGTCCTCTTGTAAATTATTCTATCCCCGTTAAGTTACTGTATCTTTTTTTGTTTTTTTGGGTGACCTCAGCATGCCCCATAAAACTAGCATTAATGAAGTTTGGGTGGGAAAAAAAAAGTTTTGCGCCTGACACGCGTCTCATTCATCAACATTATACCGGACAGACGTGATTAGCATAAGAAGATGTGTGGAGAAAGTTTCAAGGAGCCATGTTCAATAATGAAAAGAAAGTTAGCCGTTAGGGTTTGAAATTTGGGCAAATTCCAGTGCTTGTACACATTTCAACAACTTCTTAGTTTTCGCCCAAGTGATCACAAGTTGGAAGCAGATCATCCTGGAAAGTTGAGCGATGTTACATTGCCAAGCTTTTTGAGCACCTTCATCATTTGGTGGTCTCGCAATGAACACGGGCGGCCATTTTGCCATTTGTCTTTCAGAGCTATCTGAAGCAAAGCTCCTCCATCAATTAGGGACCAGTCAGATCATGAAGCAGATTTATGCATCCCTAAAAAAAAAAAAAAGCCTTTAAAAAAAAATTCTCCTGGTTTTGAATTGGGGCGTTTTTGCACTTTTTCATTCATACGTTTCGAAACGCTTACCAGTAGACTCTCTCGTCACAGCATGTTTTCGCATCTCCTCTCAAAGGTTCCATGTCATTTTTTTTTTTGGGGGGGGGGGGCGTGATCATAATTTTTTGCTTTGACCAAATGATACTGAGCAGCCAAGAAGGTCTGTTGGCATCAGAAAAAGCAAGTTACCACCCCCTAACTGGATGTGGAAGATTTGGGGGAGAAAAAAAAAACAGCCATAGTCTTTTTGTCTTCCTACAAAATATATTTTCACTTTTGAGCCATCATAGATACATTTGAGCCTCATTAGGACTTTGGAAAATTTGGGAGCCAATCCAAACTGATGTTTTCTCGCCGATCTTCCAGGCTAACGCTGAGCTCATGTTTGTAGTCGATGAACCTTATCTGTGCGATATTTCTTTCAAAAATTGCCCTTTTTTTCACGGAATGTGATTGTAGCCTTTTATGCAAATTGATTTCCCCCCCCCGAAATCTGGTCCTCAAAGATGCGTTATAAATGATGCTGGAACTGGACTGTGACTCATTAAAAAGGGTGTAACCAAAGTTGAGATGAGCCAAGTGATCCCTGGAGGCTTGCCAATTGTTTCATATCAGGGCGGTGTCCGTGTGTGTCGCTAGCATCTGCGATAGCGAAGATTGATTTTGTTCATTTTTTTTTTCTCAGAAATGGAAAATACACCACCGGTGAAAAATGTGGACCCGGTTTCTCATTCGAAACCTTGAACCTTCGAAACAAATGCATCAGAAAACAACGGTGGCTCCAAAACTGCCACCCACGTACTCATCAAAACCAGTCACAAGACTCCTGGCTGACAGGGAAACTGAATTGGATCCGCTCAAAACTTTTGAATGCACCTTTCGGTACTTTTTGCACAAATTGCTGTCCACTTTTGAAGACAAAAATTCTGATACTTTTTTTTTTTTTTTTTGTAACCGTTTAGTCTATGCCTCATTACTGTGACTCTTCCATTCTCTGCGCATCTCTGTTGCAATCTACTGATGTCGTTCTCGAAGCCTTCAGTGGTGATGCCCACTTGCAGCAACCGTGAAGAGCATTCTGGTGAGGTACTGTTGACCAATTATTAGGCGTTGTCTTGGTTGCATGATATGAAGAGGACAGTTTGTCTTTTGTAATCGAACCAGGAAATTCATGGTTTAAAAAAAAAAACCCTAAAAAAACGGCTGTGAATTTTGCCCCTGCAAAAATTTACTGAAACGTGACCATCTTGTAAGATGTTCTTGAGTGACACAAAGGCTGCTAAAATTCAATGATTAGTGTTTTGCATGGTTAAAAAAAAAAAGAAAAAGAGTTTCAGGGGTTGACCTTTACACCAGAACTGATCGTGTTATATTTTAGGAAGTTCCGCTTCGATTCAATCATGACTGAATGTCATGTCGCCGCCTTCAATTTGAAGCCGCTACTATCGTAACGCTGCATAAAAAATTAATTTTGACATTCCGCACATGAACAAAGTTGAATTCAATTTAGTGTGTAGAATTGAAGTCCTAATTTGTTGCCAATACCAAGTGATTATGAATAAACAGCATGACATTTTTTTTTTCCTGTTTTCAAGCATCCCCCAAAAAACAACCCCCCCACCCCAAAAAAAAACAAAGAAACATTCCCATTTTGGTACTTCTTGTTACTATTCATAACTGCAGCTGTATCGCTTCGGGATCTGCCAAAATACACAACAATTTGTCGTTCCTGGTGTGTCGCAAATGTAACATTTTCGAACCCGCATGTCTTTTCCAAAGAAAACAACATCAACAAAAAACATGGCTTGAAAAGTCTTGTCGTGTATTCCCACTCCAAAACAGTGCTGGTTGTCTGCGACTGCTTTCTGGGGAGGGGGGGATAATAAATAATAATTACACCTCCAAAAAAAGCATTTCGATTACTCTGTCTGACAGTATTCTGCGGAGGGACTATCGCTACCATGCTTGGCTCAGCAGTCACGTGGTCTTCGATACTTCACGCCCGGTCGGGGGGGAGAGCTAAAGCAGCATGAGGACCCCTCGCTTTTGTACCAATTATATAATTTATTTAAATATATCTTTGCTTTCAGATACCTATACACTATATCATATATAGCTACATATCGTTTGTAAGCCTGACATTTTTTTTTTTTTTTTTAAACAGCATGTAGGCCCAAATGTTGAAATGGTCCAATCTTGTCAAATATATAAATATGGACTTTGACGGAATGTTCTGTTCTTTCCCACCATGTTTGATGTCTCGTCAGCATCTCGATATCGGCGCGTGGGCCTGCGTGGGCCCGCAGAGTCCGCGTCCTTTAGTCCTTTACACAACAAGGCAAGCGAAGCGGATCGTCCTCTTGTCTCTCGCGGGCTCTTTGCCTCCCATTGGCTTCCTTTTGTTGATGTTTTTTTTTTTTTTTTGTTTAGTTTCAGCTTTTTAGGTGGTCGCAGCGTCCATACGATCAGTAGACTTCAGTAGAAGGACACTTGTTCCGCCTGAGTTCAACAGTGATTTACAGATGGCTCTCCCAATGTCCAAGGCACTTTTTTTTTTCTTCCCAAAGCAAGACCATTCGAATTCTGGATAGCAGGTGTTTGTCTTGGACCTTCAAAATAGAAAACAAAACAAAATGAGTGCTTTCTTCACTGGCTTTTTGGCAGAACTCAGAGAATTCTCCCTATTTCCCTTGCGCCTCGCTTAATGTGCTGCGTTCACGTAACACCTGTGCCTATTCGATTGAAAAGTGCTCTGATACTAACACTGTTGGCGCTCTTAGCTCCAATCTTTTGTTCCATACTTTAGGTCAGGGGTGTCAAACTCATTTTTGTCGCGGGCCGCATTGTAGTTACGGTTTCCCTTGGAGGGCCGTTAGGACTGTAAATTTTGTGAAACCATGTAAATGTTGAACCACCTCCACATATTACATACACAGCAACGAATCGATGGCAAACTAGTTTTGACATCAGAAGTCAAAAATTATGGATTGTTCCAACATTGTAATTATTACATTATATATGAAATTTTGACATTTTGGGTCAGACTTTCGCAAGCATCATGGAAGTCGACATGCTTGAATTGCTTACGCGGGGCCACATAAAATGACGTGGCGGGCCAGATCTGGCCCCCGGGCCTTGACTTTGACACCTGTGAACTATTGGTTAGGTTACTGTACTCAGGGGTTTGGTTACAAGAAAATGCTTACAAATATGTCTCTTATTTATTACATATGAGAATTTTTCAATTTTGGTCGAGATTTTAGCAAGCGTCATGGAAGTTGACATGCTTGATTTGCTTTTGCGGGGCTACATAAAATGACGTGGCGGGCCAGATCTGGCCCCCCGGGCCTTGAGTTTGACACCCGTGCTGTAGGCTGAAGTTCCGTCGGTATGACTGATCAAATTCCAGTTGTGTCCAAATTCCAACTCCGGTTTAGTGACTCTTGTCCTGGTGACTATCAGAGCGTGTGTGTCTTTTATTTATTCAGCATTGGAGGTAGAGTCTTCATACCTTGCTCGCGTTAACCTCCCGTGCACATTGGGCTGCTGGCAAGACGCGTGAGAAGCCGGGCACATCTTTTGAAATCTGTGAAAAAGGGGGAGAAAGAAGAGACGCCTTAAACGATGTCTTTGAACCTTTCGAGGGGCGACGTGCTCCGAGGATGAAAGTCGTGGCTTACATGCAAGTATCGTGCAGTCTCGGGTCTGGTGGTACACATGGGACGCGTGCTTTCTGCACTTGGGGCTGAAGTAGAGCCGACCTATAGTGGGAACATTTTTCAGAATTGACGAACTTGTGTTTCAGATTTATTTCCTAATTTCGCATGTTTTGCGATGCCGCTCGCACGACGTCATGTCAATTCGGCAATGCTGAGGAAGGAAAGTCTTACCTGTGATGTGTGTCAGGTATTTGTCCATCTTTCTGTGATTTCGTGGGGTTGGGGCTGGTGAAAGAGAACAAGACAAGGCGGGATTACGAATCGATTCACTTAAACTGGTTGATAATATCAACATTGCGGCTTGTTTTGCCTCATTCCCAACACTGACAAGTGATCAACACAGAAAAAGACAAACGTTAAATGAGACTCTGAGGCACTTTTGTCTTCTCTTGCACCGCAAAATTTTGACTTTTCTTTTGTGAAACGACTTTTTGTGCTGTTTATGGCTAGTCTCATTCGTTGCCCCGACCGTTTCCAAAGCAAAGTTTCCAAAATCGCCGGCCTTTTTACAGCATTAACTGTGACACGAGCGGCAAAAGAAAGAGTAGATTGTTTTCCTTAATCAGAAAAAAAAGTTTGTTTTAGGGGTGGAAAGGTTCACAAAATCCCCAGCTCTGTTCGTTCGGTAACTTGATTTTGCGGTCAATTTTTTTTGGTTCAGTATGTGTAGCCTTGTCAAAAAATCAATTGTCTTGCAGTGAGGTTAAAAGTGAAAGTATATGTTCGCAGCATTATTATGGAGGACTGTTATTGTAATCGTATTCCTGTTTGAATTATTGTATTTCTCTCAGTGACGACGACATATAGCGACACGCATAACAAATAACTGTTCTTCTGTTGGATGGCCAAAGGTACAATTGGCCATTCATCCCTGCGAATATATCAGCTGAGCCGTGATTGGTTGTGACCTGAGCCCTGAGCAACTGTGATGTCATTTTCAGTTGACAGAAGGTGGCAAAATGGCCGCCCCCCCCTGAGATGGCGAAAAACGGGTGGATTTTGCCGCTGAACTCATATTCCAAAAACACACTACGAATCAGAACGTCGTGTTTAGACTAGTGGGGTTGCATCGAACAATTTTGGGGTTAACGTCCCATTGAACCCTTTCAGGGACAGCAGTCACAACAGTGGACGTCCTATCATGTTTTTCTGGTTACAGTTTATCATTATTGGTGCATGAAAGGGTTAAAGTTGGGATGGGAATATCACCGTCAAATAGTGTACAATTATTCATTGAGTCATTAATTTTCATTTCCAATGTTCGTAGTAGCAGCGGCTGCCACATACCGCAAGTAACTCTTAAACATGTGGTAAGCCTCCCCCAACTTTAAAGCGTTAAGTTCCAAATGGGCTTAGCGGTTAAGTCGTCGATGGCAGTTTGTGTGAACAATGGCGTCTGTGAACTGCGACGAGGCGTTCATTTGTTTAAAGCGGATGACGGACCCGGCGTCTCACTCTTGGAGGAAATACCACAATTAGAGCCTTAAGGTCACCGGGGGTACGGTTACTGTTGGAAATGTTTTGTTTGTGGGGGACTTTTATTTGTTTGGCCGGGTGAGGCACTATAATTCGTATCTTCCAGTTTTTGTGGGTCACTGGACCAATGACTTGGATCCACTTGATCACGATCACTGTCACATTTGGAGCATAGCTGAAATCTTCTCCAGATGTGCGACCACAAACATTTTCAAGACATTTCTTGAGAAGCCCTCAAGCAGACAGCTTTTTTGAAAGCGTGAACACAAGACACATTGAAAAATCTTTCCCATTTTTTTTTTTAACCACAACGCCTTAACACAGTTCTCGTGCAAAGATAAGATTAGTTTTTTTTCCCCATTAAATAAAATCGATTTTGTTCCCAACAAAAGAACCGCAAACTAAATTGGATTGGATTCACTCTGCTTAAACAAACAAAAAAGGACTTTGTGCACCAGCATCAAGAAACACGTCCAATCTGACCAGTGACGAACACGTTTCTTTTAAATGGAAATGGGCAGAGAAAAAGTATTGGCCAGCTCTGATTTGATCTTTAAACTGGCAAAGAAGCGATGCTATGATTTACATACACAAAAGCACACACACTACTAAATACTACGACCACTAAATAGTGTGCAAATAGTTTGTAAAGCCAAATATAATATGGTTACAGCGGTGATTATTTGTGAAGACTATTTTGCCATCAAAAGTACATTTTCACTGTTGGTGGTATTTTATAGAAGAAAGGTGACTGTTCAGATGTTTTAGATGTCACTAAAGATTTTTTTTTAGCATAAAGGTAACTCTTGTGCATAAAATATATCTTTTTCACAAAATGTTTGTTTCCTGCATTTTTGGGTCCACAATCGGTGATTTGGTGAAGCCAACCCATTTTTTACTGCTGATCATTACATGTATTATTATTATTTTAATTAATGGAATAGGGTACAAACAAACATTTTTGTGTGATGTTTATTTGGTACTTTATGAATCTTAAAACACTATTTTGTAAGGCCTGAACTTTCAAAGACCACAAAAACTTGTCATGACGCAACTTTTGATGGCTGTGGAGAAAATACAAACGATGAAATTGGGTTCGAGTAATTTGCCCCATATAGTGATCCACATATCCTTTTGGGACAACCCCTTTTTTTTTTTTTTTTTTTGCTATACCACCCATTTCTGACTGCACAGAACGTGAGGAGCCCCCCCGCACCCCCGAAAAAAAGTGACCCTGTACTTAAAAGACTTAACAGGCCCATGCTCCTTTACTCACCGACTGGCCGATCCCCCCTTCTGTCTGTTTTCACTCTTCTCAAACGCCTCTTTTCCCCGTGGGGCGTCGTAATCACGGTCATGGCGCTCCCCCAGGGGCTCCAGGGAGCTTCGCCCGTCGCCGCCGCCACCGTCCTCCCCATCTTCGTGGTCTCGGCGAAGCGTCTCAGCTCCTCCTCTCGCCTTACCGGCGCGGTGGCGCGCCTCGAACCCCGGCTCACGCTCGTCTTCGGCGTGGGTGCCGCGCCGACGAGCGTGCACGTGAGAAGTAGTAGCAGTCCCACGGTGACGCGCACGTGCAGTTCCCCCATTGCTCACGCGGACGACTGATGGTGGGGAAAGTGATTTTTTTTTTGGGGGGGGGGGCGTTGCCCTTCTGTTGATTGCTGCAAGACAAGAGTTGATGGACGTCAGTTAATTTGCCGTGACAAACTCCACTTTACAGAGCCGGATGAAGGCATGTGATAAACAAAACAACAGTAGATTTGTAGTGACAAAGCAGAAGTCCACGTTAACTGAAAAATTACCATCTGAATATATGACAGCTATATGCTGTCATATATTCAAGATTTTCCAAAACGAACATAAGCACGCAAAAATACCTTCTTGAGTATAAATGAAAAATAAAGTTGGGTACAATTCGACCGTAAATGCACGATAGCACGTTGGCTGCCAAAGTACTAATGAGTTATTTTGGGTACTCTATAGCAGGGGTCCCCAACCGCCGGGCCGCGGACCGGTACCGGTCCGCAGGGCATTTGGTACCGGGCCGCACAGAAAGAACTTGCCTTTTTTCCGTTTTATTAATTTCGGATTGCGAAATGTTTTATTTTGAAAAATTACCGGATTCTCTGTTACATCCGTCTGTGTCACGCTTGACTCACGTCAAGGCACACTTCTCGGTCAGGTGACCGATGACGCTCATAAACAAAAGGCTGAAGCCCGCAAAATGAGTAAAAAAGCTGCTTGGAGATCGCAAATGACGGCGGCCTTAAAAGTACGTTCGAAACAACTGGATCAAAGTTATGGCTGAATACTCTGAGATCGCCACAATAGCACTGTTGCTATTTCCGGCATCCTACCTGTGTGAGGTGTGGAGTTTCTGCAGCAACGGCGACTAAAACAAAATTACGAAGTAGACTAGACATAAACCACACACTTAAGGTGTCATTACCCCGAGATGGGACTGTCTGATTGCAGAAAATCAAGCTCGGGACTGTGGTGAGTCGTCATTTTCATGCACTTTGAATTTGCGTTGTATCGTATTTTGAAGGCATTAAACATTACCACAGCGATAAGAGTGTTGCGACCAGATTAGACGCTCCTTGTGTTTATTATTATATTTCGAAAACACCACAGTTTTCATGCAGCTCATACCATATTATTTTGTTGTATTAATCCGCCACACCTTCAATGCCGGTCCCTGAAAATATTGTCTGACTTAAACCGGTCCGTGGGGCAAAAAAGGTTGGGGACCCCTGCTCTATAGTATGCAGTCCTCCCGTGTGTATAGACGGCAACTGCATGTGCACAACCTTTCTTTAGAGTGCAGTTAAATGTTTCGGAAAAAAACACGTTAATGTTTTTATAACCTCCCCGATAAGTCCGATGCGTCTTTGTGATCAATTAAGCCACTTCCCCACACATAACGAACCCTACAGTCACTTTTACTTCCAACCCTCCAAAGTTTATACTATTAATTTTTTTTAATTCTTTCCATAAAACAGGCACACACCCCCCAAAAAACTAAATGGTGCTTTTTCATCACCTCTTCATAATGGTACAATGATAAATAAAATCAAAAAGTCACTTTCAACTTTAAATAATAATAATGGAAGCGGCAGTGAACATGATTATAAAACTATAAAACGTACCTTAAATGTGCTTTTTAAAAAAAAAAAATCCTTTTCGATAAGTCCACTATACGTCTGCTTTAATAAATAAAACAAATCAACTTCCCAACACAAAGTGTCTGGTTAAATATCCACGCTTGAAAAGCGCCGGGGGTCCTCGGTGGACCGTCCGGGAGTGGATGCGGGTGGACCCCGGACCGCGGTGCTCCGCCGTTAGGGTCGGCGGGGGTCGCTGCTCGAAACACGTGCGGCCGCGCGCGCATCCAAGTCGAGCGCACACTTCGGGATGAGAGCGTCTCAGCCTCCTCGTCTTTTCTTGTCTTGTTTGTCTGCCTGCTCGGGTGACTCGCTCCGCGATGCCGGCGCCGAGTATGATGACCACCCTTCCTCTTTCTGTCCGATATTTCAATATATATCACTCGCTTTTACCCCACCTCCTGCTTAATACTTCCACCGAAATTCCCAATCAGCTCCGATGATCTCGTTGGCATCCATAAAGGGCGCGGTGACGCACCTACGCGCCGTGTGTAAAAGTTCTCCAGACACGATTACGCGCGGAGCTGAAACGAGCTTGAGTGCTTTCTCCTCGTTCCCCCGAACTCTGTCCCCCATCACTTGAGATGTACTTCCCTGCCAGTGCGTGCCCCTCCTTCTTTTATGCGGGCGTCAAGCCTCTCCACCCTTTCACCTCAGCAAAACTCCAGCACTCATTCTCCTCCCGTTTTTCCAGTGACTTCAAACTTTTACCTTCTGTGATGTTTAAATCTCCTCTAAGGTGACATTTGTGAGCAAAAAAAAAAAAACAATGTTTATTGATTTGGCTTGTTGCTGAAAGGAAGGCGTCACTGATGTCCTTCATGTCCAGTCAGGTGATTGAAGAGCTTGTAAAGGGGGACAGCCAGTGTCCCGTTCTCAATTTCTGGAATCTTAATATTCTTTTTAAAGAAGGTTCAAAGGCAACTGAAACTGAGGCCACGCACATTCCACCATCATAGACTCCAGTGAGGCGTGCAGTCGCAGAAGAGAGTCAAGGTGTACCGAAATCACTCAAAATGCCCCCCCCCCCAAAAAAAAACCCACCAGTGTTGTATTGGCATATTTTGGTGTGCTTGTACATTTTAAAAAAATCCCAAATAATAAATGTAGTGTTGGAAAAAAAATTCCGTGACAAAAAAAAAGACACATTTTTCAATATACAGTGATCCCTCGCTATTTCGCGGTTCGTTTATTGCGGATTCAGTGCATCGCGGATTTTTTTCAAACATATTCATTAAATAAAATGTATTTATTTATTTTTCCATATACATGAAGTACAGTACTGTATATGATGCTCTATGTGACTTGCTGTTGTTTTGCAGCTTCTCGCGGACTGTTTGCGGTCTTTTTGCGGACTTAAAAAATATATATATTTTTTCCCTGTATATGTTAATTGGTCGCTACTTCGCGGATTTTCATTTATCGCTGATGGTTTTGGTCCCCATTAACCGCTATAAACGAGGGATTACTGTAATGCAAATAAATGCTGCAAATGAAAAGATTTGTAGGTGCTTCGCGGTATCGGTGACTCAAGGTTTTTGTTTTTTTTTTTTGCGGTGACTTGCGAGCGTAGATTCAAGATATGAATGCTCTATGGTGGCAATGACTCAACTCACTTCTCAAGCAGCACTTCGGCAGATCGGGAACAATTCATCGAAAAAGAGGTTTTCAGCTGTTTCTTGTCACTCTGTCAAACTAAAGTGTTTAAAACAACGTAGCTTAGCATTTCCGTCCACTTTCTTAATTACTAATGCGAAACAGCAGTTAAGTGCTGAGGTGCTTTAAACCTTGAAGCAATGCATTGAACATAAATGGTGCAGCAACACATTGTAGACAAGCAATAGTACATAGTCATGTGTACTTTATCCTCTGCATAGAATGATTTACAATGCTTCACTGATAGGATGAGTTTCAATGTGATTGGTTAATCCCGAATTTAGTCACATCCCCAACTGTAAGGTGTGCAACCATATTGCCGAAGTTGTTTGTTTTTACTGCCCATCGCTAATCACTTTATTCTTTCGCTTTTAATCTTCACTGTCGTTTATTAGTTAAAGCAGGGCAGTTGAATGTAGCAAAAAAAAATGTACTTCCCATTTAAATTATCATCCCAGGCATGAAACAGATGAAATCATAAAAACGACAAAATATGACTGGAAAAAAATGTGTGCTAGGTGATAAATAACATCATGATTTGGAAGCGCTGCTGATCACGCTGGGCTTCATGACGCAATCGCTGCACATGAGAGGGAGGTCAAACTTTGTATTCCCATCATCATCATCATCATTATCATGATCATCATCAGAATAGCCAGCAGTTTTGACTCATGATGTGTTTTTTTTTTTCCACGCCGATCCAAGACCAGGAGGCGAGTCGGGGTGGGGTGATCACATGCTGTTCCATGTTCGGGTCAAGTCGGTAAAATAGGTTGACAATGTGATAAATTGAGTGAAAGTGATTGTTTGCTTTAAACAAGCATGGGGCGAGGGTTGAAATGCGCACCCGCTTCTTTAATAGTGCTGTCACCGTAAATCCTTTTGAGCAACTGAAAAAGGGGGGCCGGGGGGGGGGGTGGATTTCACTTCCTCTCCACAAGAGGTTATTCAAGGGCACTGTCACCCAAAAACATGATTTTATTTTCTTCTTGTTGTGATAAATTTGGAATCGTTTTTTTTAAATAAGAGTTTCCATGCGGACTCCCCGGGCCCACGTGAGTTTTTTCCGGGTACTCCGGTTTCCTCCCACATTCCCAAAAACATGCATGGCAGGCTGATTGAACACTCTAAATTGTCCCTAGGTGTGAGTGTGAGCATGGATGGTTGTTTGTCTTTGTGTGCCCTACGATTGGCTGGCAACCGGTTCAGGGTGTCCCCCGCCTACTGCCCGAAGACGGCTGGGATAGGCTCCAGCACCCCCCGCGACCCTTGTGAGGATAAGTGGAAAATGGATGGATGGATGGAGTTTCCCTGTTGATGTATTTGTAATTAGAATCGGTAGGTTGCTTGAAGAAAACGTGAATATGTAGTGTCTGTATGTGTTGCTACGTTTTCCGGCCATAAGATTAGGTACACCTGCTACGTTGGCGTGTGGGGTGAATGGTGCTGAAACCTCGACTCGCTCATATGTCAACTGTCAATCAAATACTACGTCTCGGATAAGTGGATGATACTTTTGCGGCGTTCTGATGCCTGCACATAACTAAACTGCATGTTAGGGCTGGTGAAATGTATCCACTTAAATCCACCGCATCGTCATGGGGCTTTAACACGCCACAAGAGTGAGGCACTTGAAATATAAATGTGTAAATGTATACAGACGCTCCATTTTATTTTGGGAGTGAAGCTAATCGAATAAAAATCTATTCATCAATTCAAATGAAGAATCACACTTAATTTTTGTCAAATAAAAATAAATTGTGTTCTACTACAACTGTGTCCAAATAACATGGACACAGTTGTAGTACTTCCGCATAATTTCCCAAATTGTGATTTTTCTCCGGATATGATGAAAATTAATTTGTGAGAATGTTATCGTAATTGCTTTTGTAGGTAACACCATTGTCGGTCAGACCAAGATGCAGGATTCCGAAAAGTGTCTTCCAAGCCTTTGATTATTAGAGACACTCTTGAGGTACTCCAACCAAATCCAATTGGTGACGTCAATGACAATTGATGGCTCAATTTAAATGGGATCAGGAAGCAGAGAAAACGGAAAATTGACTGAAGCGCATGACTGTTCTTTCAAGGGGCTTTTTCATTCCATTTGAGGCTCCAAGACAAACCCAGTCATGGGGCATTTCACATCTGTGATATGCACTGACATTTTATTTTGATGGTTGGTTCAGCCTTGAGATGGCTGTTTCTTGTGTTACCCCCACCAAAAAAAATGAAGCCAATAACATTAAATGTTATAGTGACACCCTATTACAAAAGGTCAAGCAGCAGCCGTGGCTAACGTCAACTTGTTTACAGTGCTAATGCTAGCTTAGCATTGCAAGTTAGTCATATTTGAGAATCGTCCTCATGCAGGTCAGTAAAGAGCGTGACTTTTGGTCAGAGACTCGTTGGGGTGCAGGATGAGTGAAGTGGGGCGATATCCAAATCTTGCGCATTCAAAACTGCAAACGTTTTTGTGTTGGTTCCCCAATTGGCGCGAAGACAAGCAGATAACACTGTCCTTTTTTTCCACCATGCACATGCATACTTTCGCGGCGTTCCACAGGGCCTGACCGACTTGAGGGGCTTCAGGCTGTCATCGCCTCTTTAAAATGTCTCTTTGTCAGCCCCGAGTGTGCACGCATCATGATGAAAATGGCTTGGTTTTTCACAGTCAATAACAAATAGGCTCCAATCGGCAAAAATGACGATAACTCCGTATGGACTTAATCGCTGGACTCCTTATTCGCTCTCAGCCAGCTAGAGAGATGTGATCTGGACTGCTGCTGGTCAGATCTTTGGCACGTCCGTTTCCAACAAGACCGTGGAGGAAACATCCACATTGCGCGAATCAACAACAACACTGGTCTGCGGTGAAATATTTGACAGCTCTTGTTACATAATGTTGTTTGGTGTGTGATGGAGGACACTTTTACACATTAATGGTGTGTTGACAGACAACTAACAGTTGAGGAGTTGTCTGTTGTTGGAGTTATCTGAGAATGTGAGAATGTTCAGTTCTTAACAAATGTACTATGGGGCATCGGCGGATCAAAAACAGACGAATTAGCCCTGATGGGATAATGGTTCGGCATCCTTGCCTTAGAAATACAAAATGTAGACATTACAGTTTGGGGTTTACAGCTAGTCCCAATTATTGTTGTTGGTGAGCTGAAGGCTATGCTAGCTGACTTTGGGCAAGAAGGTAGGATATTCCCTGGGCTCCCTTTTATCACATAGTATGGTGTTAGTTAAAACAGCATGGGAGTCCATTTCATGACACGAAACACCGCAACTAGACGCCTTCGGGCCAATGGTTCTATCTCAGGACCACGTCCCGGTCGGTTGATGTAGAATCCTCCACACCAAGACCTCCGTGGAAGTGGTCCATCTCAGATCGTATCCAAATCAATCGATTCAATGGAGTCCAAAGAGCAACAGAGTCACTTGAGTTATCAACACCTAGCCCCCTTTTTTCTGCAGGAGAGGAGAGAAGAGATGCGGCATTAAAATAAGCCAAAAATCAAGATCTCAGGGTTTGAGACAGGGCAAGAGGCAATTTGCATCCTCAGTGTGGTTTAACTCATGGCTAGAGTGTAAAAATAAATCTTCTGAACAAGCTGTTCTATTGTTTTTATAATGGTTTCTGTAATTACGACATGATGGTGGTATTAAAAATATGTGACACCCAGTATGTTGCATGAACATGAAATATTTGTTGTTGCAGTGTTTATTCATTGTGAAGATTTTTGAAAATCCACTGGTACGCTCACGTGTCTCCGCCACAAGTTTGAAAGAAAACAACCCAGCAATGTCATTTAGATTCACCACAAAGCCCCAGTTATTGAAACGTTGAAGCCACATCAAGACACTGCTAGCCACGCACTGTTTGACCTCAAGACATAAATTGAATTGAGGCTTGTAAGATGACTCAAGGACAGGATTCATTGGAGTCCCATTTTCTGTAATTTTAGCAGCTCTCCCACACACACGCACTTCCGCACTACAATACTATTAAGCGACTCGTGTGTGTGCGTACGTGCGTCCGTGCGTGTGCGTGTGTGCGTGGGTGCGTGTGTGCGTGTGTGCGTGTGTGTGTGTGTGTGTGTGTGTGTGTGTGTGTGTGTGAAACCGATGACTCAGCATTAGTCAGTATCCTGAGCAAACGGGACAACATTCTTACATTCTTGTCATACACGTGTAAAGTGACGTCATGTTTCAAGCAATCATCGAGTTTATTTTTTTTTAATCTTTTTACCTGATAACATACTGTAGCTGTGGTCCCCCCCCCACACTTCATGAAAAGACAGAGTGCTAATGTCTATCTATCTATCTATCTATCTATCTATCTATCTATCTATCTATCTATCTATCTATCTATCTATCTATCTAGCGAGCTAGCGAGCATGCTAGCTGTTTTAGCTACAGTATCTATCTAGCTAGCAAGCTAGCTACTATTTTAGCTTTGTTTTATGAGG